CCTCCCCCCTCTCCTCTCTCCTCTCTGACAAGGTCTCACTCTGTTGCTCCGACTGCAGTACAGTGGCATGATCCCAGCTCACTGCAACCTCTGCCTCCTGGGTTCAGGCGATTCTCATGCTTCAGCGTTCTGACTAGCTGGGACTACAGGCATTTGCCACCACGCCCCGCTAATTTTTGTATTTTTTTAGAGATGGAGTTTCTCCATGTTGGCCAGGCTGGCTGGATGGCAGATGTTTTGTATTTTGTAGAGATGGGGTTTCTCCGTGTTGGCCAGGCTGGATGGCAGGTATTTTTCTACATAAAACAAACTCAGTGACTTCCCCAAGGTAAAGAAGCTAGTAAATGATAAAGGCAGAGCGCATACTCAAGGGAGTTTCTCAGGCCACTAGTCTTCATGACATCAAGAAAAAGGTGTAACACCAAAGGGGAGAATAGAAAGATATCAAAATGGAATTTCTGTTATTAGCACATGTTATAACTTAATCAGCTTTAAAAAGTATTAAAACTGAATTCGAAAAAAGCTGACACCTTTACTGACAGCAAAGCATCACCATTTTGATCTAAACAAAACTCAAAGTAAATCTTAAGGTATTTTTACACAAATATTCCAGAAATCACTTGATGTAACAATTTCAAATATGTCAAGAAAGCTCAAAAAATATTAGAAATGGATTTTAACACAGTTTGAGTGTCTCCAGTCTTTTAATTAGGTCTCCTTTTATTATCATTAAAGGCAGGACTATTCATCACAGCTGAAAAGCCATTTTGAGCTGAAGCTTAATGGAGCAGTACTTAGCTAAGATCAAGAGTTGTGTCCCATGTGGAGGAAAAAAGTGAAAAAAAATATATATTCTTCTCTTCTGTGTGATCCATTGCTTTTATGTTCTAGTAACTTCTGAAATTTCCAGTAAAGATGTGATCTTTGAAACATATCAGTCAGGAAAAAGGGATCCATGATTTTAAAAACCCAAGTACTTGAAAATATATTTCACTGTTCCGTATGATATTTGTTAGGGAAAAACAGCCTTGTTTCCAAGGCAAAATGTTTTACATTGCAAACAATTTTCATGAAAAATCTATTTTACCAGTGATAACTATTAATGCCACATATCAAAATGTGCTGTGTTTAAAACCAGGGCTTTGAATTCGTTATATCACAGAAACATTAGGTTAAGATTTTTAAGAATAAGGAAACATTTGGTCAAATTGTTCTGTCTAGAAATAGTAGTGCATAGGTTTTTTTAAGTAATTGAAAAATTAATATTTGAAAATATTTTTGTTTTATATTCTTAATCTTTTAGATTTCAAATTTTATATGTTACTTCAGTTTCATCTATGCTTGCATATTTATATTTGGGTAGTAGTACACGTATAATTGATAAATATCTACTTGTGGTATATGCTCAAAACATCATGGGGATGGTAAATGAAAAGCTTGATGACCCCAAATTTAAACTATTTTCTAGGTAAAAAGTATATGTCATGGAAGTCCTTGTTTAGTGCATAACTTTAATGCAACTCTTTGACAAATTACTATCAGTAAGTCTTTAATTTTCCATAAATCTGCATATTTATGTAGCACTAATGTCAGGACTCAAAACTGACATTACATATCGCAAGCCAGATATGTAATTTCTTGTGAATCTTCAAAAGCCAAATATGTAATTTCCACATTTGGTATACTCTGAGTCCTGACATTAGTGCTGAATAGATATGTTATGTTGGGCAAAACTTTGTTGACCTCAGTTTTCTTAACCATATAAAAAAGGTAATGACCTTGCATGGTTTTATGAGACTGGTAATAATTATGTAAATTAGATGTTAGCACCTGATATGCTAGTAATTACAAAAATTTCATTTGAAATTTAAATTTTCCCTTGGTCTTTATAGAATCTGGAGGAGAATTGGATATTGTAGTTACCTCAAATAAAGAAGTAAAAGTTGCTGCTGTCCGAGATGCCTTCCAGGAGGTCTTTGGCTTAGCTGTGGTTGTAGGGGAAGCTGGACAGTCCAATATTGCCCCACAACCAGTGGGCTATGCAGCTGGATTAAAAGTGAGTAATAGAATACCATTTTCAGGACATGGAAACTACCATTTAATTTTTTTATAATTCTGATAATCTGCTGTCTCTGTGGAGCCAATAGGCTTTTACATACTGAAATAACAATGAACTTTGCTTTTAGTAGACAACCCTGTAGTATTATGAAGGTATAGTGGAGTTTTAGTTTAAAAAAAATCTAAAGTAAGTTTTGATTATTGTGGGAGGGAAAGAAACATTGAGAGAGCACAAAAAGAGAGTAGTTAGTCCTAAAAGTCCTAAACAAGATCTTCTTCATCCAGCGTTAACATTCAAATCAATTACTGAGATGATACTAACCCTTGAATCCCATAAGCTTTTTATTATCACTATTGATAATGCTTAAAAATGTGTAAGTTCCAAGAATTCCATTCTCTCTTTCATACTTTATTTTTCTCTCTTTGTATTGTTACCAGCATACAGTCCTGACCTCAGGTAATCCACCTGCCTCAGCCTCCCAAAGTGCTGGGATTACAGCCGTGAACCACCAAGCCCGGCCAAAAAGGCAACTTTTACTTGAATATTTCAAAATTAATATGTCTAGATCTAAACTTATGTCTAAATCTAAATAGAATATGAAGCTCTTTTCTTTTACACACGTGCAAGAACGAATGAACAGTTTATTGGCAAATGTCTTTCCCACCTTGAAAAAGAAAACCAAAAGAAACTCAACAAATTCTTTGACCTCCCTTCTTCTATAACTTACGACCTGTTTGCTTCCTTTTGAAGCCAGACTCCAAAGAGTTGCCAGCACTTCTCTCGAATCCTTTTCACATTCTCTTAAATCTACCTCAGTTAGGCTTCCACCTCCAGCACTCCACTGATAGTGCTCTCGGGCTCATACTAACGTCCTTCATCTTATTTGACCTAACAGAGGCTTTTGAGACAGTTGATCATGTACTCCTCTTTAATGCTTTTTTTACTTGACTTCCAGGATACCACACTTTAGTTTTTCCCTCCTTCATTGATTGCTTGCTCTTTCTGTGCTTCCTTTGTTGAGTACTCGTATTCTCTCCAGTCTTCTAACGATCACCTTCTCCTTATCAGTTCACTCTCAGACTGTCCCATGGCTTTAAATACCATCCCTGTGCTGACAGTTCCAAATTCATATCTCCACCTGAGACCTTCTTGTGGACTCTTGATTTATATAAAAGTTGCCTTTTTGTTCGGGCTTGGTGGCTCATGTCTGTAATCCCAGCACTTTGGGAGGCTGACGCACATGGATTACCTGAGGTCAGGAGTATAAGACCAGCCTGGCCAATATGGTAAAACCCCATCTCTACAAAAATACAAAAAGAAAAATTAGCTGGGCATGATGGCAAGTGCCTGTAATCCCAGCTACTCGGGAGTCTGAGACAGGAGAATCACTTGAACTCAGGAGGCAGAGGTTGTAGTGGGCCAAGATTGCACCACTGCACTCCAGCCTGGGCAATGAAGCAAGACTCCGTCTCAAAAAAAAATTTTTGACAACTTTACTTGAATATCTCAAAATTAATATGTCTAGATCTAAACTTTTTTCCTCCACACCTGTTCCCTCTAGCCTTCTCCAACTTAATTAATAGCAGTTCTGTCCTTCCATTTTCTCAGGCAAGAAACCTTGGAGTCAGCCCTGACTTCTCTCATTACCCACTTCTAATCCATCAAGAAATCTTATTTGCAAGACAGACCGTTCTTATTTTTCAACATAATTATGTTCTGTAAGGTTGCCACAGATATTGAATTTGTGAATACTGAGCCATTGCTACCAGGGGAGATACGATTAGAGCCCCTGTGGGCCTCTGGTCACATTTTTGCCATTCTGTCAATACATAACTTTGTTTTATGTCTCTTTCTGTTTAAATATATTTTTATACACATACATACATGCAGATATTTTTGATTCATTACCATTGAATTCTCACAATTAACAGTACTGTAACTATAACTCATGCTTGAATGCAGCTTATTTAACACACTCGTATTTTCTCAGTCAGGTACATCATGGTCATCTTGTGCCTAGGAACACTAGACAGCAGTCTAGCACTACACTTGGGGGCCATTTGAAAACAGCAGATAACATCAACAAACACAAAGATGCAAAAAGATGCTAAATAGATGCCCCAAAATGATACCTGTTTGCATTATGTCAGCTGAAAGAAGAAGGCAGGGCACTGCTTTGTTCAACCTCAGCTGGGAGTATGTGCATCAGGCAACTCAGGTTTCTCATAGCTCTGTGCATGTCCGATTTTGAGGTTATAAATAAATTTCAGTGTGCAGTCAAATTTGTAATTATGTGGAATCCACAAAAATAATATGATCAACTGTATTTATGTTTAAGGAGAAATGCGTTTTCATATATGACATTCTGTTATTTTGTTTAAAAGAGCTTATAATACCTTACATTTATTGAGAACATCCTCTGAGCCAGGCACATAGACCCTTTACTTGCATTCATTTAGTGCATGTAAAGCATTAGAATGAGGTAATTGACATAGCATATTTCGGGGGAAAAGTCTGTTACATTAATTATAATTAGTCATTAAACATAAACCCGCACTGACACTGGGTTATTTTTTATTCTACTAGGTAGTGCTGCATGAGTTTGACGTGCTCTTTGAGTTGTATTTAGTACTTTATTTAAATAGAATATGAAGCTCTTTTCTTTTACACATGTGCACACTCACATACCACAAAACCACTTTTCTATATTAGGGGCTACTAGGGAGTAGTTACACTCTATCTAAATGTAGTGCATCATATATAATATTAATTATATGTTTTCTGCCTTTTCACTTTTCGCAGTGGTCTGTCCCTACACACAGCAGAGCTGCTAAAAGCACATACACTTTGAAATACTTCTTTTCTGTAGTAGAGTTCTCTTAAATTTGAGCCCTAGTGTACATTGCTGACAAGACTTTCTTTGGGGGATAGGTGTTTGATTTAATAAAATTTAGCAAAGCTAACTTATGGCTGTAGGGTTTGAATTTAATCTACGAATGAAAAAAAAAGTACAATAAATGGGTAAAATAAGTATGTAGACATAATAATTGCACATTAAACCAATTATATATATGTAAGATAAACCATAAGCATTTGTATGGGTGAATTTTACTTGAAAGACTAGAACAAGTTACAAACTTAGATTGAGAATGTATTTTAAGATTTCCCAAGAGGTTTTGTAAGTTGGAAAGAGTTTATAGGTCTGAGAAGGAAGACTTTTCAAGATTCAGTTGCCAAGGGTAAACTGAAAAAAATCCTAAAATAGGCTATTAGGTTATTAGACAAAATGGTGAATGCATTTCACTGAAATTAGAGACTAAAACAAGGGCTTTCGATAAATTGTGAAGCATTATGTAAATGTGATATGGAAGTTGGTAACCTTATTTGATGTAAAATATTGTAGTTTCATTTATCTTGCTGTAATAGGATTTGACAGATTATTTTTGCTATTGGTTTTGTCCTTCAAATTTACACATATGAATTCTTTTTCCACAATTTTCAGTTCAAGCTCAAAACTAAAATTCATTGAAACTAATATATAAGAAAGTGATTTGTAAATTTGTTCTTTTTATTTTTTTCAGAAACAGTAGGGGGAGCTAATGAGAAGAAAAATAAAAATTTAACCTGTTTTTGTTCTTCCCATCAGATTTTATTTGAAGTAAATGGGTTTTCTGAACTAAACTTAAATTGCCTTTTAAAAATAGGAAATTATTTAAGGAAGTAAATCAGTTCAGCCAAAATTAAAGTTAGGAAGCTTCTAGAACTTTTATGCCCAGTTTTTATTGAAAAGCCAGTTGTATGACTACTGTTTTATATTCAACAATATAATCATTTATGAACGTATATAAAATTTTAACTATTCATTGAACCAAGTTTCTTGGTATTAGCTCTTAGAGTACAGTATTCAATTCTAAAATGATTATTTTAATATGGCCTCTAAACTACCTAATTCTCCATCTCTTATATTGCTGAAAAACAAAATCTCATTCTCAAAACATTGGTAGGGACTAATGTTAAAATGCTTGTATTTGTAACTCCAAAAGAGGCCGCATTTAATTAATATAATGGTCAGAGGAAAAAGAAAGGCCAGATATAGCCCCATTTTCATTTCCTTATGGATTTTATAAACCTAAAAGAAAATTGTCTACCTGGCTTATTATCCTGTCTCTTAAAGGAACTAATTAATTTTAATTAAATATTTTGTGAATCCTATGGAGTATAAAGCCCTGTGCTGTAAGATAGTGAAAAATGAATAAACTTAGTCTCTGTTCCCAGGGAGTATAAAATCTAGGAATATTTTGTTGTAGTGCATAGCGGAGGTACCACCTTCAAAGAGTTAGGGGATGACTCTCTAAACATCTCATTAATCCCTTAATAGTTTTTACTGAGTTAGCAGTTACTTAAGCTTTTTTAAAATTAAAATTTAGCCATAACTACCTCCTAGGAGGAGTGAATTAGGCAAATTTGTAACATCCAGTATAATGAATTAAATTTATCTTATCTGTTACATTGTCTTCAAAATCAACAGCTTCCTCTTTGTAAGTGTTACTGGATTTGGTGATGCCATATTTACACTATTTCTGTTCTTAACATTGACCACATAGGCCTTCAGAAGCCTTTTTTTTTTTTCTTTGTTTAGTTTTTTCTGTGGTAAGTTCTCATTGAACATCTATTAAGTTAGGCACTGTGCCGGGCACTAGAAATAGAAGAGTGAGCAAAAAATTACAGGCTTGATTTTATTGTAGTTTAAATTGTATCTTCATCTTTATGAGCTAGTATCTTAAATTGTTTGACACATTCTCATACAGTTGTCACTTTCTCTTTTTTATTTCAGTTGTCTCTGAAATAAATTGAGTTTTCCCGAGATGTGTCCTAGCCTTCTCAATTTTCAGTTGCATAAGAATTGACCATTTAATCTGATATTCTCTGTTGAGTTTTGCTGTCCTTATAAAAATTATCCGTGGCTACTTTTGTTTAGACTTTTTATCTTGCCTTTTGAACACATGTTCATCACATTGTTCATAGGCACCTTAATGAAATGATTCAGATAAAAGCAATAAACAGAAACCTTTTCCGTCACTAATCCAGCTTTTAGTTTTCTATTACATAAAATCAGGTCATGATTTTGAGTTATCTGTACAGTGTTCTCAGCCAGTTTTGCTTCTTTAGTGGTAATTATTTGGTTGAATAAGCTTTGGTGTAATGTATACATTTGCAGCTTTTTAAGTAACTGGTCATTTTGGTGTATGCATATTTAAAGGGAATCAGAAGAAAGAGTAAAATGTATTTATTATTGATATGATTACCTACCTAAAAAATTCAAGAGAGAATTAACTGAAAAACTGGTAGGACTGTTAAAAGCTTTTTATATAGTGAGATGGCCTCTTGACAGATCAACATTAAAAAATACATAGTTTTCTTAAATTATTTAATAGTAACAACCAATGAGAAAATGTAGTACAAAAATAAACCATTTCACAAAGGAACCAACATCATAATGCATAGGGGAGTAATTTGGAAGGTGTACCCCACACTGTTGATACTGAGGAAATGTAATTGTACTTTGTCATTTTTTACTCTATATTTTTCTATTGTTTGAACGTTTACAGTGAGTATACATGTTTGCATATAAATGTATGCATGTATTATATAATCATAAATTAGTATATTTAATATTAAATAATTTGAAATTGTTTCTAACCTCTGCCATTGTTGTTTAGGGTGCCCAGGAACGGATAGATAGCTTGCGTCGAACTGGAGTGATCCATGAAAAACAGACAGCTGTGTCAGTAGAGAACTTCATTGCAGAATTGCTGCCTGACAAGTAAGAAGTGTATTATGTTCCTCTTAGAAGCAAAATATAATTGGGTCTGGGAGTTCACACTGAATACTTAGCAAAAAGTGTCTCCTGTTTTATAACCAGAGAGAAAAGTATATTTTGATGCTGGCTATATCACTTAACTAGCTGTGTGTCCTTGGCTTAGCTGGCATTTCTATCCTTGTTTCTCTTTAATTATAAGATGGCATTGGTCATGCCTGCCTGCTTTCTGAGATCGTGCTAATAATTACTTAATAAAATGGCAGTAAGTATAAGATGATAGAGTTGATGTGGATATAATTGACCATGAGGAGCAAACACAATCATTATGTTATTCAAAGTCATGGAGGGTATGAGCAAGAAGGCCTGATAGCAGTCACTAGGTTTGAGTTTCTGGTGAGCTGTCTCTCCTGTACTCACAATAGCTTAGAAAAACCTCCAGACAGCATAATTCATCATCATGTTTGAGGGCTGTGTATTTTTAATATAGGTGGCTTTTTATGGGGAAAATTTTTAATTGGCTGAATTGATTTATATTAAAATAACTTCCCTTTGTTGAAATCTACCTTCTTTTGTAATTGCATTGTGGTGGTGTTTTTCTTTAATTATTTATCTTATCAGTGTTGAATAACAATGGGCATAGCATTTTGTGGCTTATAATATACAAAACATGTCCTCCAACTTTGAGGCAATTATAGGCCAGTGGGAGAGAAGATATATGTAGTACACAGATGAGCAGTTTTAAGTAATTATATAAAAAGGAACATAATTTTTTGCTGACAAGAAATGTATAAAATTTCATTGGCGGTAACTCTGGGGAGATAGTGTCAGGTGAAATTCATGAATGATTAGGGCTTGAACTGGATTTTGAAGAAGTGAAACTTGGCCAAATGAAACAAAGTAGGTAGAATGTTCTGGGTAGAGAAAAAGTTTGAAGGTAATTGAAATATATTCTGGGGTCAGTGATCATATTAACTTGGTTAAAGGTTAGTTGGATGAGAAATCAAGAGGTGACATGGGACAAATTGTGAAGAGCTCTGAATTCTACATTGATAAGTTTCAACTTTTTATGTAAGCACTGAGAAACTCTCCAGTGATTATTGTGTCATTTTTTAATGTGTTAACCTATTACTGTTTGTTTAATGGTTAACTTTAGAAATTACAAAGTGCCTTTTTGATGTATTATATTATAATAAAAATTAGAAGTACTTTTAATACTATTCACTCCCTTTTCACTTTTTGCAGTATCATTGTTAGGTATTTAAATTCTGCATGTATTTTAAACTTAAAACGTAACTAGTCATGTTCTTTGCAGTCAGTATTTGTTTGTTTATCCTCTGAATTATTTGCTGCATTTTTGTTTTTCCGTTTGGGGTCATTTTTCTTCTAAAGGAAGCCTAAAGTACTTCCTTTGATACTACATCATAGTTCAGAGCTGCTCACTACCAATTCTCTCAGCTTTTCTTTGTTCGAAAGTGCTTTAATTCACCTTTATTTTTGCTGGATGTAGAAATCTAGGTTAGCAATTTCTTTTCTTTCAGCACTTTAAAAATGTCATGATACTGTTTTCTGATTTCCATCATTTCTGTTAAAAAGTCAGCTCTCCATCTTCTTGTGTATTGTCGTTGTGAAGATATGTTGTTTTCTCCAGATGCTTTTAGGATTTTCTCTGTCATTTTACTTTTTGCAGTTTTTGTATGGTATGATTATATACATTTGCTTGCTTGCTCTACATAATTATTTTTGTGTGTGTGTGGATTCACTGAGTTTCTTGATTCTGTGGATTAATGTCTTCAGTTTTGGAAAATTCTTTGCAATTATGTCTTCAAAACTTGTTTCTAGAAGCCCGTCTTCTCTCCCTTCTCTTTATAGGACCTTAATTACATGCCCGTTCACTTTTGACAGTGTCTCACATTGTCAGGTTATTTTTTCTCCCACTCTTTTTTCTCTCTGTTCTTTAGTTTTGACATTTTCTGTTCACCTGTCTTCAGGTTCACTAAGCCTGCCTTCTGTTGTGTCCAGCCTGTTGTTAAACTCTTACATAGAGTTCTTACCTTTTAAAATATAGGCTCAGTTTATCTCTTGAATACCTATATCTTTTAATCTAGTTGCACTTTCTTCACCTCTCTTTTTTTGATTATCCGAGCCATAATTACTTTTAAATGCTCATCTACTAATTCTAATATCAGGGTCACTTGTGGGCCTGTTTTAGTTTCCTTTTTCCTTTTGGTTTGAATATATCGTGCTGTCTGTCTGAATGCCTAGCAATCTTTGAAAGCTGTTGGTTAGAAAGCAAAACAAAACTCTAGAGGCTTTAGGTGATCTTGAGAAGATTCATTCTTTCCTCTATAGTAATAAACACAATTGTAGGAGTGTAAGAGGGGGAGGGTAATGTAGTGTACTTTAGTCACAGTCTGAGCTGAGACAAGGCTAGGTAAGAGTTCTAAGGTATATTCACTGGCATCATAGAAGAAACTTCCCTCATACCTTCAGTAACTCTTTTTAGGATGTCCACACCTGAAAGCTTGGTTAGCATGTTATTCACAATAGACATTATTGTGTGCAAATTATGCAAAATAAAATTTGGCTAAGCTTAACTTTATGGAGGCTTTACAAATACATTATCTTGACTGAGAAAGTTGTATTAAAATACAAAATATCTATTAGTCCACCAAATAAAATAAGTGTCATTATTTAATGTTTTGACTTTTAAACAGTTTGAGGATGTGAGTACTGTAGACATTATACAGTGCCATTTTAGTATTCAGCAAAGTTGCTTATGTTACTCTATATTTTACTTTGTAGTTTTTTTGAATGTGTAAATAAAAGTCTCCTAATCTGTTTTATATTTCATTGCATTTTATTGGATTTACATTAAAAAATAGAGATTGAACATTTTTCTGCTTCATATCCTTTTATTGTTTAAATTCCTGTTTTAAGGGTGTCTGGTTGTTTCATGATTTGGGGTAGCTAAAATTTGGGTGGTACTACAGTTGTTTCACTTAAGTCATTTTTTAAATTTACCATTTTGTATAATACATACATCTCTTTAAATGAAGAGAGGTTTCCTGGATTTCATGAGGCTGTTTTCAAAGACTGACTTATTGTGAATAATTCAGAAATTGTGATTAGAAGGATTTATTAGTAATGAAGAGAGTATTTGTTATTATTTCCTCTGAGCTTAGTTTCTAATTTGCTAGTAACTTAGCTAGTTGGGTACATATTCATAATAGAGTTGGTATTATAAAATTTCCCATATTTTAGTAAGTGTCAATTGAAAAATATTACTCATTATAAGCTTTTTGCATATACAATGTATGTAAATTTACCTGTTGCATATTTGAGTGCCCTTACTTTAATTATTCTCCCTTCCCGTGGAAGGGAAGCTTTCCATGATAAGTAATTTTAAATTATTTTTTCTATATGGATATTTTCTGTTTTTTCCCTTTGAAACTAATACAACAGAGTGCTTTTATCTGTAGTTTTATGAATTGTCCTCTTCCAAGTTGATAAGAAAAAGATTTCCTTTTTGAAATTTGCTGTTCTATCTGAATAATAGTACTTACTTTTTCTTTTTGTCTATTCATGGTAAGTTTTATTTGGCATGTAGACCATCTGAAACTCAAAATTCTGTTGCAGATGGTTCGACATTGGTTGTTTGGTGGTTGAAGATCCCGTCCATGGCATTCATCTAGAAACATTTACACAAGCCACACCAGTGCCTTTGGAATTTGTACAGCAGGTTGGTTTTCTCCTTTGCTTTTTCATTATGCTCCAGAGAAACTTGGAATATTGCTTTCATAATAAAAATTTGTGTTCGATTTTTCGTTAGAAATGTGTTCTTGATTTTGTTTCAGTCTTTTTCTTTTAGTATTTTTCTCTGCTTTTTAATTTCCTGGTCCTGGTATGTTGTTTTCGTACCTTCCTCCTTTTGTTTTCAGGGTGTCTATGAAAGGTAATACATTACATGGTTAATCATTATTTCTCTCATTTGTTTCTTTGTTTTACTCTGAGTGGAGGAAAAGGTTTACCTTTTCTACGTGTTTCATTTCCACCTTTCGTTTGCTTTCCCTTTTATCTCACATTTCATTTCCATTGTTATCTCCATTTCCCTTTTCTTTGATTTGATTGTCTTCTTGTTCATCTTTAGTGAAGTCAACATTAGAAACCTTTTAGGCACCTGTCTTTAGGTTTTTTGGCTGAAAAATGGACCTAATAGTGCACCTATCCACACAGTTTGCAGGAGAATGTAGGTATAAATGATAAGGCTTATTCCTCTTTTTTTTTGGTATGTTTTCTCTAATCCTTTCATGAACAAAAAGGAATATAAATATATATGTGCATTGAAATCTCTGTGCTTTTAAGTGATATTCTACTTTTTCCTGTCATTAATTTCATAAAATTTTTGTTACAGTTATACTTTGTACACTGTTAAATATCACTTCAAAACTGTCTTTTAAACTTAATTGGGACTTGAGGACATTTGAAAATCTAAGAAAACTTTTGGACTCTCCCAAGAAAAATGCATGTATTTGTACTTTCATAGAAGTGTGGCATATGTGTTCACATAATCCCTAAAAGTAACCTCTGGTCTACTTAGACTTTATAGTTGAGAAAGAGGACTAAGAATTGATGCTTGGAATTTGAAATTTTACTGAAACTTTTATTTACACCATTATTCCTTTTCAGAAGTTCAATTAAACCTTTTTATAGATATTAACATTAAACTTATTTCAATATGAAGGTCATACTATGTATACTGTTATGCCAATAAATTAGAAAAATTAGATAAAATAGTAGATTTTCTAGCTAAGTATAAATTTTGCCATAGTTAAGAGTAAGTATTAGGTTGAACCAAATGACCTTGTTGCCTTTGATGGTCAGAGACAGTTAAATTGTGTCAGTTTCATATGATTCAACCTAATTGAAGCATTACAATGGAAGAACTTTAAGTAACTAAAAAAAAAAAAAAAAAATCGCAAGTACCAATGGTGTTATAAGTGAGTTCTACAAAATGTTGAAAAGATGATTCTTGTGCTTTATGAAGTACCAAAAAGAGAGAGAGTTTTCCAATTCATTCTGTAAGACTAGCCTTTTTTAACTTCAAATGAAATTATAGTCCATAGAACTCAATATCAAAACCATTGGTAAAATTAATAAAATTGAGAAATGTATCAGAAGAATATTGTGTCCTAACCATGAAAGATTTGTTCTGTGAACAGCAGAATGGTTCAACAATAGTAAATTTACGTAATTCAATACATGAACATCCGCATTGAAGGCAGAAAAAAGATTTCAATAGCGTTGAAGGTATTTGCTAGAAAGAATCATACTAATAGCTCTTAGCTAACTAGCAGTAGAAGGGTATGTGTGTACCACAAAATCAAAGCAAACTTCAGATCTAATAAATAAAACATTGGAAGCGTTCTCATTATGAGGATGCTCCTGTCACTGTCACTGTTAACATTGCTGTAGATCTGGGGTCGAAAAACAGCCAAATCTGGCCCGCCATCTGTTTTCGTAAATAAGTTTTATTGGAACACACCCATGCCAGTTTGCTTACTTATTGTTTATAGCTACTTTTGTGCTACAGCAGCAGAGCTGAGTAGTTGTAACAGAGAGTGTCTGGCCCACAAAGCCTAATGTATTTACCGTCTTGGCTCTTTTCAGAAAAAGTTTGCTGACCCCTGTGCTAGATGTCTGAACATCGCAAACGACAATTTTTGTCTTGTTTTAAGGAATGTATATTGGAAAGAAGTAGACCTGAAAGAATGAAGTGGACTTGTGTGTACCAATACTGAAAGATAGCTATTACATATTGCTGAGTGAAAGTCAAAACCAGCACATCTAGTATGATCCCATTTACTAGCAGGGGTGTATTTGTGTGCTTTAAAATTTTAGTAAGAATAGGGAAAAAGGCCTGGAAAGATACACAGCAAACTGTTAATAGAGCTTAATTTTGAATAATGGTATTCACAGGTGCTGTTTGGTTTTTACTTTGCTTTTTATTCTGTTTGTTTTATTTTGTGCCATTTGGTTTTAAAATTTAGAAGATACAAAACTATGTGCATTGAAATGTCTTCTTTTTATTCTCAGGTATTCAGCTCTCCTCCCTGTTTTTTTTTTTTTTTATTCATTCTGAAATGTTTTATGCTTCTTTATTGTTAGAATTTTTAATTCAAGGGAATAGAAATCAGCCCTTCAGGGAATTATAATTATCAGTATAAATATTAGTAAAAATCTAGAAATAAATTTCATACAATTTGTGCATGTTAAATTTAAGTATAAATGATTCCCCACCCCCATAAACAACCCCAGCTGTTCTGGATTTTTGCCAGTAATATCACAGACCTTGTTTCTAAAAAGTATGATCCTTGGCCTAGCATCATAAGCATCACCTAGGAATTTGTTACAATGCAGATTCTTGGGCCCTAACACAGGACTAGTGAATCAGGAGCTGCATTTTCAGAAGATATTCAGGGGCTTCATACACATGCACATGCCATAGTTGGGGAAGCACAGTTTTACTGGTGTCTCTGAGGACCCTAGCAATGTATCTGCCGTTTGTCGTCTTTGAAATATAGTGAAACACTGATACTGTAGTAGACACATTGGAAGAGAATACTGAGAGCAGGGGTTCCCAAGTGCTGGACTGTTTGCATCATATTTATTTGGAAGCTATTTTATGTATGTAATACTGTACTGTTTCTCTTGGAACCAGCTGTAGAGTTTCCAGCTCAGTTATCTTAGTGTCTCCATTATCTTAGTGGGACATGAGAACTTGTTACTGTTAAAAAAAAGTCACAAGAGCTCCTCAGGTGATTGTAATACACAGCACATTTGGTAGTCCTGTATAACTGTATAGATCCATTCTACATGTGGCTATACTCTTCTGGACAGAAAAACCACATCATTCTTGGATATCAAACAATGAGTTTATTCTTCTCTCATTTCTTTGTAGATGTGTAAATGATTTGAATGTGAGCAGATATGAATTGGATCAACTAGGAACATTGCATTAGTGGTTAATGTTGTCCTGGACTGGAGATTATTTGATACATATCAACACGTTAATCACATTTCCAGAGATAATTTTGATAATTGAGCAACTCTTTTCTGAATGGGTTTAAGCCTTAACTTGCAGTTTTTGTTTTCCTCTTTCTGGTTGAAATTTTATTACTATAAACAGATAACTTTAGCACTGAGTTTAGTACCAATCTTACTGTTAACCTGAAGTGACACTTAATTTAGAACCGGAAATTCTATTAGCCCTGTTAATGGGGATTTTTTTTTAAAGTAGATGTATGTAATATTATATTGATTGTTTTCTAGCCTTGTCACTTGATACAGTCCACAGCCTTGCTGTGTTTCTCAGAGTTTGTCATAATCTGTATTTAAAATAACACGAAACACTTTGAAACATCACTTATAGCTAGTTTGATATTTTAAAATGTATTATAAGTAATATCAATTTCATCTTTCCATAGGCTCAAAGTCTAACTCCCCCAGACTACAATCTGAGGTGGTCAGGCCTTTTGGTGACAGTGGGTGAAGTCCTGGAAAAGAGTTTACTGAATGTCAGCCGGACTGATTGGCACATGGCATTTACAGGCATGTCTCGTCGACAGATGATCTACAGTGCAGCCAGAGCAATAGCAGGCATGTATAAACAGCGTCTACCACCCAGGACAGTGTGAGAGGAGACTCACCTGGGAGACTGAGATTTTCCCCCACTTTTAGCTTGATGTTAAAGAAGTGGTTATCGCTTCTTAAATTGAATAGCTTAAATGAATCCAGTAGTTTTTATCATTTTCCTGTAGACAAAAAGAAACAAATCCTTTTTATAATCCTTTCACCTATCATAGTTCTCAAAAAAGAAAATATACAAATATATTTACAGCATAATTTAATATACCAAATTTTTAAAGTGGAAATTCATGTGCAGAGACATTCCATGTTCTTAATTATTTTGTTCTTTAAAGAAGACATTATTAAAGAACATGTTGATTGAATGTTTATAAAAGCATGATTTCTTTTTGCTTCATCTCTTTCCTGTCAGTCTTTGACGCCTTTTGTATGCGCATATGATCTCAGGGCTGATGCTGAGCAGCCTGCTCAACAGTCACCATAAAACACCTACTCGTAGGGAGCTGTTCCACATTTCTGTGCATGTTTTCAATAATATGGGCCAAAATAATGGAATTGATCATTTTCTTTTGCTGTCATAATGTACACATATAGTTTGGAAAATTATACTTTTTTTCAATTTTAAACATAACTTTTGGCATTTGTCAGATTTATATTATGAACATTGGGGTAATACATTTTATTTTTTCATTACTATATGACAGCTAAGGGGCAAATGATTCAAGTGTATTTTAAATCAAAAGTATTCAAATTATTTTTGTATAATGCTATTGAGTACTTCCAAGAGTAAACGCTGACAACAGCCATTGTTTCTGCTTCCCCTCATATTCTCTAAACGTTGTAATAGAGACATTTTTGAGAGAGGATTACTTTATTGCTTATGGGATAGTATGTCTTTTACTTTAATTAAGGCTACTTATTTGGTTTGCCTTAAGTGTTACTTTTCTAACTTGGTGCCATTTTGCCTTTACTTTTTATGGGTGTCTTCAAAGAAACTATTTTATATTCAATCTAGTTTATTTAGTCTATTGTGTTTCTATTTAGTGGAAGCCTTTTTCCCCTCAAATAATATATTTTACCATTTTTGGAAATAATTAAATGTTTTTTTCTTAATACTGTTGAACTCTGTATATACAAGTTCAAACAACTTTTTTGAAGATAGTTTCTTACATAAATGTAATTTAATTTTTTTACTCTTCTATACAGTTCTTTAGATGTAAAAGAATTAGCACAATCTCTGGCAGTTTTATAAAAGATGTTGAAGCTCTTGTCCTGCACTGTCTTTACATATAAGGTTTGCTTTGTATTAATTCCACTTCACGTAATTATTTGGTTTCTGCTATATTTTTACTTGAGATTAAGAAGAATGAATATTAAATTTGAAAATATATACATTACTTTCCAAGCACTGTATAAAGGCTGTTCAGTGAATATCAGTCTTCGGTGTCATTAAGTTATGAGAGACAGAAGAGAGAGGTAATAGGTTGCTTTGGTGCACTTTGCTCCAGGAGTAACAGGGAGAGAATACTTTCTTTTTCCTCCTTTAAGAGTAAAAGAAGCCTTTCTCTACCATTTACTTCTACACTTTATTTTAAAAAGCTGTCCTTTTCTATTAGTGTTTCATCATGGCAGTGGCATGATGACAGAAACAGTCTTTCCTTACAGACTGAAGGGAAGGATGTCCTTAAAATAGTTCTTGTACTTTCTCTCCTATTGCAAGGAAATGTTACAGATCCTAAAAATATCTTAATTTTTCTTTGATTTTTATTTTAAGTCACAAATGTCTTTTTTAATGTTTTGAGAATTGTTCTCATAGAATCATAAACACTGACATTTCATTAGATGATTATTTTCCTAGAATCTTCAAATAGCAGTGGTAGTTATTCCATGGCTTGGTTGAAGCTAGATAATGTTCCTGCCCCTGCTGACCTGGCAAGCCTTCTGCTCTTTAGAACAGTGTGAGTGGGTGAGGAGGATTAGAGACAGGCAGATGGAAGAGAGAAACACATGAACTGGTCTGGCCTCTCTGGTTCTTTTTTTGGCCCAGAGTTTTTGAAAAGCAGCAGAGCATGACTGACTTCACATGCTCAGCTTTCTCAGCCTTTTGTTTATTTTGTTGTCCTTAGATTTCCCTGTTATAAAAGGGGCAAGAAAAGTAACTCATTATCTCTAACACACCATGCCTGCTTAGCCAGGCAGTCTTAGTGGTGGTGTTTGGGCATAAGATATGCTGATCATATTCAGGCCACTAATCATCCAGCCTGAGTGTCTGTTCCCTTTCTGCCCATTTCCTTGTAACTGTTGTGCTAGCCTTGGCAGAGGGGGGGTGCTATTTGCTTTAGTTCTTCCTCTGTCTTAGGAAAACCCATCTTTAATACTTTACTACTGTTGAGGTGGTTTTGTGATTTTTTTCTTCTGAAGAGCTCCTGGTTATATATTTTAATCCAAATTGAATTTTATAAGCTTGTACACATATATTTAATTAGTGTGAAAGAAAACAAAGAATGCAGGAAAAATAATTTAACATCAACCTTAGTCGACAAGGTGCTCAGATTATTCAATCCAGGATCCTCCTTTTGTTAGTTTTTTGAGATAACCCCAGACCTAAACTGTCACAGACCTCTGAATGTTGAGGCAGTGCTAGAAGTTTCCTCTTCTGAGTCTGTTTATTACTTTCCCATTCTTTGTTCCTCTTTCTTTTGAAGATTAATGAAGTTGAAAATTGAGGTGGATAAATATAGACAAAAAGATAGTATGATAGTATAAGTATCTAAGAATACAGATGAAAGTGTGTTATATACATTCATTCAAAATTATGCAAGATAGTAATTACTCAGGGTTAACTAAATTACTTTAATATGCTATTGCATCTTCCCTGTTCCTTGGCTAGAAAAAATTATAAACAGGACTTTGTAATTGGGAAGCCAAATTGATAATACTCTATGTTCTAAAAGTTGTTGGGCTATACATAAGTTATTAAGAAATATGTATTTTTATTCCCAGGATATGATGTTCATTTTATAATATTAGACAGGATGATGTATTGGATAAAATCAGTTTTGTAAGTATGTAAATATGTCATAAATAAATAATGCTTTGATTTATTTCCAAAGTTGTATAGTGATTTTTTAAATGCTAGTTTATATTAAAAGGACCCGTATTTCTTTTTTATCTAAATTTCTTGCTGTCTGCCAAGAATTCTTATACAACAGCAATTTAACCACCATCTTTCTAGTGGAACTGTAACATTCACATAGACCAGAGTTGCTAACTTCAGGGTCAAAGAAGTGAAACTATTTAGAGGAGAGGATATGTCGGAGATAAAGATAATAGGCATGAAGTTCAGGCCTATGGTCATGAGGATACTTCCTGAGTATTGGGTTTTTGAGTCGTTTTATTTCTTAGAGTAGTTTCAGTTCACAGCAGAATTAGGAGGAGGGAAAGTATAGAGATTTCCCATATACATATATATATATATATATATATATACACACACACTTATATATATATATATATATATATATATATCCCCTTCCTCTGCATATACACTACATAGCTTCTTTACTCATTATCAACATTCCCCACCAAAGTAGTCCATAATCAATGAACAATAAACAATCGATGAACCTGCATTGACCTATCATCTCCCACAGTCCATAGTTTGTTTACCTTAGATTTCAGTCTTAGTGCTGCATGTTCTTTTGGGCTTAGGCAAATTTATAATGACATGTATCCATCATTACAATATTGTAGGAGATTTTCACTGCCCTAAAAACTCTCCATGTTTTTCTATCCCCTCACCAACTTCTGGCAACCACCAAACTTTTCAACTGTCTCTATAGTGTTGCCTTTTCCAGAACATTAATATAATCAGAATAATACAGTATGTAGCCTTTTCAAATTGGCTTCTTTCATTTAGTAATACATATTTAAGACTCTTCCATGCCTTTTCATGGCTTGATAACTTATTTCTTTTTAGTGCTGAATAATAATCTATCGTCTAGATGTTCCACAGATTACTTACCTGTTTGCCTACTGAAGGACATCTTGGTTGTGTCAAGTTTTGACAATTGTGAGTAAAGCTGTTATAAACGTCTGTATGCAGGTTTTTGTATGGACTATTTTTAGCCCATTTGATTAGTAAATACCAAGGAATGCAGTTGCTGGATGTATGATAAGAGTATGCTTAGTTTTGTAAGAGGCCACCAAACTGTCTTGTATAGTGGCTATATTCTGTTTTTTTTCTAGTTTATTTTGTACTATATTTGATATTTTGAGTTTATGACCCCAGGACAAGAGATTTTTGCCTGATTTGGCAAGGTTTGGGGCAGGGGAGGGGGAGATACCAGAAGACAAAAGAATATTGATTGGAGGAAGGGGCTGCTGGGTGGGGTTTCTTGGTTGGTTGACAGAAGACAATATTGTTTTAAATAGACCAGAAAAATACTAGTTCTGGGCCTGGGAAAGGCCTTGTTTGTTTGTATTCAATTTCAGAATTAACTGGAGGAGAACAAAAATTATTTGGCAATAGAAACAAAATTGACAAAATGATATCAAGGAAGTTTACAAATTTACAGAGGAAGGAAATCTTATAAATTATCCTAACGTGAACTTATTTTAAGAATTAAAAATGGTAAGACCAGCCTGATCAACATGGGGAAACCCCATCTCTACTAAAAATACAAAATTAGCTGGGTGTGGTGGCACATTCCTGTAATCCCAGCTACTCAGGAGGCTGAGACAGGAGAATTGGTTGAACCCGGGAGGCAGAGGTTGCGGTGAGCCGAGATCATGCCATTGCACTCCAGCCTGGGCAATAAGAGCGAGACTCCATCTCAAAAAAAAAAAAGCAGTAAGGAGTGAGGAACTAACATTTATATAAGTTTCTATTGTTAGGCACTGGAGTAGAAAATTAAACCAACATTTTATTAAGCCTGCAGATTTTATTAATCTTATTTTTATAGATAAGGTAACTGAAACTTAGATTAAACTACTTGCCCAATATCACAAAACAGATGAATCACAGAAAATTCAAACAGTACGTGACTTGCTGAACTAGCCTCTTTCCCACCATCATGAATATTTACTTCAGGAAGTCATGAGCACATAATTAATCCTATAAATATTTGTTGAATGAAAGTGAATTCAAAACATGGCTTGAGGACTTTTTCTTAGTATATTTTTAATGTTAAAATATTATGTTTAGCGAAAAACTTTTTACTCCATATTTTTCCTTTGAGTTTGAAAATGCTGTTGTGGACTTTCCTGCTGGTATGAAAGTATGTTCTTGACATTTGGATATCCTCACAAATTTGAGAAACCATTAACTAGGTTTGAGTATCATTTTTAGGATAAAGGCCAGAAATGTTCTCTAGTGACGTCAGGAAGGTATTCGAAGAAAATTTCTTGTTAAGCAAGGTACTGACCACATGCCTTTTAAAATACTTAAAAATTACTTTTGTTATTGACATGTACATGTAGGAAACTACATAAACACAAATGAATGATCACAATATGGGTACACTCGGATAACCACTGCTCTAATAAAAAAAAAATAGACCAGCCTCCTAGAGTACCCTTAGGCCTCCTGAAATCACAGTCCCCACCTTCCCTGCTAAGATAACCACTACCTTAAATTCTAACAGAGTTTTGCTGGTTGTTGAATTCAGTATAAATGAAATCCTAAGATTGGTTCTCTTGGGTTGTACCTGAAATCTTGAAACTTGTGGCAGACCCTGCACTTTAGTTTCTATCTCCATAGTCCTGTGAATCTGTCAAAGTCTCTTCTCAATTTCTCACCATCTCAGCCACTGCTTTTATATCACAATATTCCTTGGGGGCAAAATGTTGCCAAGCTTCTGCCCTTTGCTGTTTCTCTTCTCCTGGTCCTTGGTCCCACAAATTCTCATTTATTTGGTATCTTTTCGATTATTTTAAACATGTTTTTCATATGATATTTATCTGGCTTTTTCATTTGTTTCTGGTGAGAAGTTGGTTCTAGAAAACCTAGTTCACCCTTGCTAGAAGTTAAACTTACTTTGTTTTTTAAAGGATGGCCATTGGATCTTTAAGCATTCCAGGGGCTGGGGGACAGGAGGTATAGGGTTTATGATTTAATAGAACTTTTGAAATGAATAGTTCTTTGTAGAAATTGGTTACATTCCAAGTAAGTTCATTTATAATGTAATGTGTCAGAATAAGTGGGACTGTAGAGGAATTAGCTTCTGTTTACAGCCAGGTCACACCTCAGTCTGTACACCTGCACACCTCTGAGACATTCCCTGGGGAGGAGGGAGTCACAGGTGCGTGAAGGATTGTTGACTGCTGATGGTGGCTTCTTTGCTGGAGCAGCTACTTATCCTGAAACCTCCTTGCCTCTTCTGCTTCTGTGTAATTAGTAGTAGTATTGTATAAATTCAATAACAACTGCTAACAGCCAAGTGGTTTCTGTGTGTGACACCTTACTGTATATGTAGTTCCAAATTTCTTTTTATAGTCCTTTAAAATAGGTGATGATATTTTTGTTTCAAACATTTAACAAAAGATTGTACCACTAGAATATAAGCCCACTGAGCACCAGCACCATGGTTGTCATCTGCCACTTTACCCAGTGCCTCACACACTGATAAATATTAATAAAAAATTAATATTTTTTAAATAAAGGAACTCAAGTCTGTTTGACCCTGTAGGCCATATTCTTTATGTACTATGCAGTGTAATTGTTAATAAATATTTTAATTTTTCAAATAAAAACACTTCAAAAATGGCACATGCAAGTCTGACTTTAAAGGACTTTGAATAATAAATGTTAATAATGTAGAAGGAGGTTGAAATTGATCCAAAGAAGATGGTCCAATAGAGCTGCTCAACTTCTGACAGGAAACTACTGAAGGATGGAAGAGCTCAAGGTTAGAAACCTTGGATTTGAAACTTGTGCTCTTGGCAGGAATGAAATTTCAAGCAGTTTTTAATCCCTTTCAGCCTCAGTTTCTTCATCAGTAAAATAGAGGTGCTGATACCACAAGACTGTTGTGAGAAATAAAGGAAGCAATATATATACTTCATTCCTGTGAGTCTGTTTCTTATGAACGTCTCCCCACACTGAGTATACTTCTGATGTTTAAAAACAGGGGTATTGCATGAAATGTGGCCCCTAAATGCTAGCCAACTGCTTACAATTGCCTGTTTTAATGCTGGAGAATTAACTTTTGGGCTTACCATGAGACATGCCAACCTCTACTCCAGCTCCTTCTTATAGAATGAAGGTCTTAATTTTTCAATAGCCCTTTTGTATTATAATTTGACAGACATATTTGTGAAAACCCCTGCTTTCTGTATAATTTTGTAGTAGAGAAAACAAGTTATGGGAAAAGATGGGATTAGGGACAGATCAATAAAAACCTGTATAACTTTGAAATCAGGCACTAACAAAACTCGTAATAACTTCAATTAGAATATTAGCACAAAATTTACAACATTTTATGTTTCTAATAAATAAATACAACAAAAGAAGAGGCCTTTACCTTTATGAACAAAAATGGTGAAGGTAGATTGATGGAAAGGGAAGGCAGTGATAAAGGATCGAGCATGCTGAGCTGTGGAAAAAGAACAAAATACAGAAGGATGAGGGAGAGCTGTGTGATGAGCACTTCCAGACAAATGTGGAGCCTCATCTAAGCCAAAAAGGCGAACATGGGCTGCTGGGCATTGAGTGTTTGTGATTTTGCATTTAGATGCTACTGCTTAGTTACATGAACCAAAAAGACCTCTAGGTTATACAAACAACATTCACCCATTTACCAATTTTGTTTAAGCTAATTGTTAAGAAACATGAGATATAGCACAGCAGACTGAACTTGCTGTTTATCTTACTCATAACCATTAGAAACTAATTACCACTATACATCGGAGCCTTTTATAAACCACCATGGAAAAGTCAAAGGCCTGTAGTGTACGAGTCAGGCAAGCAATGGAAGTGAGCAAGGCATACCCCATCTACAGGGGACAGGCATGCTCCATTTCAGCCAACTGTTGCCATGTGGGATGGAGGACTTGGGTATGGCCAAATCATTGATTTCTCCCCAGAGAATTCAGATGTCTGGATTTT